GAATATTTATCATCTGGATGTCATGCCATAAGAGATAGCAATGAGTAGTTTATTTCAATGATAGACAATTATTAGTTTGTCTATACATTTTATATATTTCATAGAGCAATTTTAAGTCATTTTAAGACTGTAGTGTGGAGTCAATTAAATATAAGTATGTAGCATCAAGTGTTTTTAATTTTCATTTTGCTGTTAATTGTGTCAAAGTTTTTGCTTTAGTTGTGCATGTATAAAGGACCTAAGGTTGTATTTCTTGTTTACCTTTCTCCTTATATACTAAGAGGTTTATGTTCTTATATGATAGATAAACAATCTTTTGGGCTCCTCTGTGCTGTTGTAGAAATAATACTTACAATGACAAATCACGAAAGATAAGGAAACATAAAATAAAATATCAAAGCACTAGTTTTACCATCAAAGATAGAAAAACTATTTCAAGAAAATTTTACATAAGAGAAACCTTATAGATCTTCTTAAACTAATATTCTCTTTTATCTTCATCCAAAGATAATAATTGCATTATAAAATGTTTGTATTAAGACAAACATGCAATAATGCTTCATGATAAATCTATGCATTCATGTCTATTATATGACATGGCATTTAATATGGTATAAGATATCTCATACATATACAAATATCAAATCCATATCTTAATAATATCTCAAAAATTAGCAAAGTCTTTGATATTTTTAATCAGTCTTGCTCATAATCTTACTTAAATCTACCAGCAGCTTTACATGAGTTTTATCTAGTCTCAATATTGACGAAATGATTTATTTCTATAGTTAAAACATATGGTTTACATAAGTCTTTTGATCTTGCTCTAGATTTCTTCTGCATTTGTATTATCTCAATCCCTATCAAAACATAAGGAAAATATCATAATAATAACATACATAGTTAAACATAATATAATCTTTATATTAAAAATCCCTTCTACAATTCACTCTATCACTTACACGCATCATAACATAACAAATATAACTCATAACATTATATCACATTTAAAATTCTCTTTGTTGAGTGAAGTCTTCTATTCTAGTCTTGTACTGTATTTTCTATTGTATCTACTATATACCATCTTTGCACAACAAAATTATGTTTAATTTTAATAATATAGTATTGAATCAATAAAATACTCTTTGTTCTGTAAAGGTTTTTTTCTATAGAACAATGAGTATGCTGAAATATTTTCAGGGAGATATATCATACCCAAGATAAATAGATCTTCTTTTTTAATTTTTCAATGTTAAATTTTTTTATTGTATGCAAGGTTAAATTTATCTTAATTTTGCAACTATTCATCTCCAGAGAAATGGAAAATAATGCAATTATATAATAATGCAAATTTTTGGGAAGATAAGATCATATTTTAATCATCACTAAATTTGAAATTGAATTCTTCTATTGCCTTTATAAAAAAGTACAAAAACCTAAACACATTTACAAGATTGCTGCCATGATTTAAAATAAATTAAATGTTCATAAAAAAAAAGAATTGTATACTACCAAAACATAATAGGTTAATTTTGGGAAATTATAATTTTGATTGCATATTGAGCTAAAGTGTTTTTATCTGAACTGTAATAATACCTTTAACATTAATTTTTACTTAACTGTAATATTGCCTCTAAATTGCATAGTTTACTAAAGAATAATAAAATTTCTATTATATATTTGTTTTTACATTTAAAAATATACTTAAAGTAGATATAATGTTCATCTTAACAAAAACCAGTAATAATGCTTTATGATAAAGCTATGGACTCCAATAAAAAATAAATTACTATTAACTTATTCAACACTACTCACTAATAAGGATTTATATAAAGGTGAACATGATCACATATTAATATAGCTTATAAAATTATTATTGTTTTAAACATAAACATGGATCTAACACATTACTATGAAAATACTAATATTCAAATGTATTGTGTATTATATAAGAAAAATTTAGGAATTCACTATTTCAATTTATATTTCTAATTTAGAGAAAAATATTGTAGTATTAAGTTTCCCATTTGTGAGTAAAGTGCTACCATTGCATTTTATTCTTTACTTTATTTTATTAAAACATAAATTTTTGATACTTAGCAAAGGGAGCTTTCATGGAACCAATGATCCTGGAAGATGCTCCCTTTGACACGGACACAAGGAAGGAAGAGATTTTCGGTCCCGTGATCCTTCTCTACTCATACAAGTCAGCTCTCAAAGTTTCTTAGCCACTGAAGTTCTTCTTTACTTCCTTTGTTTTTCTCTAAACTTAAACGGTGGTGACGCAGTGATTTCAAGGAAGCCGTGATGGAAGCTAACAACACGCATTACAGTCTCCAAGCCGGCGTCTTTACGTGTGATCTAAACAAGGCCTTCTATGCATTTCAGCATATAGAGGTAGCTTTGCATTTGAGATATAGAAAGTATTGATCGACTGTTTGATAATTATTTGATCCTCACAGGCTGGAGGAGTTTGCCTCAACGATTCGCCAAGCATGTGCGTTGATAGCCAGCCATATGGTGGGATCAAAGACTCTGGAATCCAACGAGAGGGTGTCAAGTACGCGATGGACAACATGCTCGAAACCAAAGTTTTAGTCATGTGCAATGTAGGCAACGCGTCTTACTTTTGATCAAGCTCGAGCTCGAGCTTTCGAGAAGAGTAAATACAGTCTATCCACAAATCATTGCCGAGTTGTCCTTGTTTGCTCGCTCACTCTCTAGCACCATCAACCTTTTACCTTTAGGATGGAGAATGCTTGTCTATAAACTCCTGGGAGAAGGTCCATAGCTTGTGAGCAAGCTCGGGATCTCTGCCATAAGCGCTACAGTTGGATTTGTTGGAATCCACGAAGTATTGCCCA